TTGACATTCAGTGGAGCTTAACTCTTTGTGGTTAGGCACAGACTTCAGTGCAATTCAATTTAAGCATGTGTTTGAAATTTCCTCTGACTTGGGCAGAGGCTGGAGGAAATACCCGTGGTATTTTCTGGTATATTCTCTCCTTTCGCCTTAGAGGAGGAACTCCTACTTGACGCAGTAAGTTACCTATACGAAACCCGCAGGATACACAGGTGACTTAACTGCCTTTCTGACTCTGTAGACTACAATTTATGTTCATCACAGATACAGAAAGCCCTTTGAACCATAAGTGTTGCCTCTCTAAAACCCTTATTTGTTCTGCTAATACTTTGTATTTTGGAGTTCCCTACGTAAACCCTTATTTACAACATGTCTCAGTAGAAATGACTTGTGGGAAAATATAAGTGCTTTCTGAATATGAAATACATCTGTTCATTTGCGTCAAGTTCGTGGAAGTGCTACAAGCATAACTGTGGGTTACAAGTATTCTGTCAGTTTATGTAAGAGCTCTAATATAAATGCAGGTGTACAGGTAAATAATAGTTTGGGTTTGTTTTGTTGTAAAGTACTCACCAAGGCAAAGCCTTTAAGGAGGTCTTGTTTTCATATTTAGCAATTTGGGGGAGTTTTGATTCATACAGCTGACAAGATGCAGACATTCGAATTTAGTTAAAAACTTGACTGCATTACATCAGTGTAATTACATCAGTCAGCACTCCTTTGGGCACATGCTCGTGTTGAAGATTATGAACTATGACATACTGAATTAGCCCATAAAGTAAGTGTACAACCGAAAGCTGCATCTAAACATGTTACCTCTTATCACATGCACTGTAACACATGATTGTGTAAATGTTCTTAGCGAACCCTAATTGTGACACGTGCCATTTGCAGGATTTAAACTGTCTTCAAACATAATATGTGTGCACGTGCAAGTGAAGTAATCGCTGTGACTCAGGCACTCTGTAATTTCTTCCATTAAGAAGAATAGGGAGGTTGCTGACACTTTTTAATTTTGTCATTTTGAAAGCACATGGTCAAAAGCAAGCATAACTTCGGGAAAAGCACGTATTCAGTTCAGACTGAAAGGTGACTGATGAGATGATGAATACGAGGCAATAAGACTCTGCGTTTGTATCAATTTATTTAAGGTGGTCCCAAACCTGTATTTGTTGAATCAATATATATTCTATCATGTAGATGTGGCTTTACAAATGAAGTTTGGTGTTGGGTCAAAAACTATGGAATATCATTTGATGATGTCTTAATTAGTATTTAGAAGAGGTGTTTTGGGTGCACTTTGTTTCTAATCTGATTTAAGACCTTAAATAGCTTTACAGAACTTCCAAAATTACAGTTGCCAATTTTAAAGCTGCTTTTCAAATAAATTCAAAACTCTTGCACACAATAGTGATTGCAGAGCTTTTCGTCTAGTAGATAGGCTCCTTGAAAAGAAAACACAGCAAACAAGCATTCTAATTACTTTTGGAAATTTTAAATAATGAACTATGAAAAATGATGGTTTGAAAGATAATTAGTGGATTGATGGCATTCCAGGACAGCAAGTGGAGCTGTTCCACATGAAACTTTGGTCGTTATAGCTATGCAAGTTAAGGGCTGGGGTAAGTATGCCCCAGTATGTCAATAAAAAGTAGATAAAGTTACAAAGTAGCATGGGTTTTGTCACTCTAAGACTCCTTCACCTCTGTTGAGATTTGTCATGGTGCCTTTGCTAGTACAATGCTCTTTGCAAAGCCTTTCCAAGTAGAAGAGTGGTCTAGGGGCATTCTGGACAAATGGCTTCTAACAATCCAGCATCCACCAGAAGATTTTGTAACAAAATCTATTTGTAACAAATTCTATTTCTTTTCATCTGCTGCTTCTTTGCTTTTGGCTCCATGTGTCTCTTTGCAGGATAAGAGAATAGTCTTGAAAGGAGGTTGTTGTGTTATTACCCTTCCATCTAGTTGCCCAAACATATTTCACTCCAGTTTTTCTAGGTGCTCTTGTTGAGTAGTGACCCACGGGGCGATGCCTGCAGTGAGCCCAAGAATGAGTGAAACTTCCTTAGAGATGATGATAAGTCTGAGAAGCATTTTACTGAAGTGCCAGACGTGAGCCTGTCTCTCGTCCAGAGAAAGAAAGGGTTTGGGTGCCTGAAGGAGAAGAAGCAATTGTGTGCTCTCACACCAAATACTGGGAGATTGGAAGTCCCAACTGAGCGTGTGTTTTTCCCAAGGTCGCAGTTGCCTTTTGAGCACATGGTCTCAGAGGGACAAAAAGTTCTGACATCCTCTTTATTCTTCTAGATGGCAGGCTTAGCAGAATGGTACAAGGAGATAATGAGCTGAGCAACAAAAAGTTTATTATAGGAAGATTGTCATGGAGTTTTTGTCTTGTTGGTTTGAGGGGAGATGAAATTTTGAAGAGCAGCCTAGAATCTCTCTATTTTCAGCACCTAATAATGAAGATATTCACCACACAAAGAAAAACCCTGAAACAGTCTTGAATGCACATCCTAGCCTCCAGCTGTGTCTGTACTCCCTGCTTATTTAGGGAATTGTCTTTTGCTGGGTGGGGGAATTGAGTTGGCAACTGTGAAAAAGGGAGGGAATACTGTATTGATGGGTAACAGTGAGACTGTATGGCTTTCCATTCGCGTAAGTGATGATTCAACTAGCTATCAATGCTCTGAACAAAATCAACACTGAAAAATTGATCTTTGACTTTGCCAGTTAGCGTTGATAACTGGAAATCCTAGGGCAAACTTTTTTAGCAGTTCAGAGATTGAAACAACTGTTTGCAAATCATTTACTTGGTGCAGACACAGCTGCTTCAGGCTGATGGACTCCAGCACAGTTTCTAAGCCAGACACTTCCAATTCCTCACTATCATTCAGCGTCTGATTCATCGTGTCAGATGGCCTTGATTCATTTTGGCCATTGTTTCCCCATTTGTAAAATGGATGTGATCATAATCTGCTAGTTGTAATATCTGTCCGCCTCACTTGAGCTATTGTGCAGGTCAGTTAATGTCCGTGCTGTGTGCCGCAGCTGAATTGGAAACAATGGAGCCTGCAAGCGCCGGCGACGCTGTGTTCCCAGTTGAGCAGTGTTGAGAGAGAGACTTTGTGTACGCATCCCTCCCAGCCTCTAAGGATTTGTGATATAATCACAGTATCGTGATGATAGTCAGGTGCCCCTTGCTGTCAGCCTGGCAGGCCCAGCTGTGCCTGTGCTGTGGCCTCTCCCCGAGCACCGTGCCAGCCGTGGTGCCACTCCTCAGCTGCCAGAGGCCAGGTCCTTCTCCCTCTGCTCCTTCCCCTCCATGCACCATTTGTCCCTTTCCAAGGGCTGGAGCTGTCTGCAGGTAACACAGAGTGCATCTGCAGCAGGGAGTGGGCAGGAGTTGTGGAGGGTCGGTACCACCCAGAGAAAAGGGGCAACTGAGGCACAGCACCCGCAGCGCCGCTCCCTCCGTCCCTGTGTGGGCTACAGCTCTCTGCATCTGCTACGTACAATCCCCTGGGGTCAGGGAGGACAGTGGGAATGAGGGGAGCTGCACCCCAAAACCCTTTTGGTTCCTGGGTCCAAAAGGCTTGCAGGCACTAAGATGCTCAGTGTAATACTGTAATACTCACTGTCCTGTGATCTGCGGTGACTTGCTCAACTGGAATCAACCGTGGCTTGCTGCAAGGCACTTAAGGGACACCAGAGTTCTCACTCAGGGTGCTAACATCCAGCTCCTTTTTTGTAAAGTCATCATGTGATGCAGTGACTGCTCAGAATATCAAGGTGCTTCACTTGTCTGTGATATGAGATGCTTTAATTTGGTGAAAGATTAGTGCGATTCCTGTCCCTTAATTGCTACAGGTTTCAGATGTGTGTGTGAAGCAGTGACAGTCAGGAGGTCCTTAACAAAGTGAAGCCAGTCTTAATAAAAGCTTTTGTATCATCAGCTCTCATGTGTACTCGTATGTGCAAGCACTTGCGCTCTAGTAATGTAACCTTTACAGTCTTGGATTCTGAAGTATTTAGCTCTAATGCCTATGTACTAATTACATTGATGCATTAATAGGAGTTACTTCTCTTCTTCATTGCAATTGCTTGCTTACTTGAATGTGCTGTTGTGCACCAAGTTCCCTCAAAGTACTTGAAAGTAATGTGTTGCTCCTACAAAAAAAATGGCAGTGCGGGGGGAAGATGAAGAGTAGATGAACTTCGGTGTGAGAAGGGAGTTGGAATAATGAAGCACACACAACCTCCGAGCTTATTTTTAACACCAAGTTGGACAGTCTATCCTATACACCCAATGGAGCTGAAAAATGCTTTGATTGTTCTCACCTTGCTTAAGTCCAAAAAAACCCAACCTAGATAATATTACACAGCATTAGGTCCTGGTTACTTGTAAAATAATTTGCCTACAGATGCTATTACTACTTAAGAATTTTAGCAAAAAACTAATTTGGTATTTTGGTGAAGTTATATATGTTAAAAGGATGAATATTTCTTCAGATTCAGCACGTTATAGTAAGCTAAATTTAATACAGTAGCTGTTTTGGTGATTTAGGATTTAAGAGCCATGATGAGCTTTGATAGTGAGCATTTAAGAGGAAGGGGAAATAACAAAGACATTCCTTCCTGTGGGCCTCTTGTGTGTTGACTTATGGCAACATGTTGAATTGAAGGGAATTGATTTGTGCTTCTTTTAAAAGTGGTGGGGAAGGGTCCAGGGACTTGTAAAGCACAGACCTATTATCTGTTATGTGGTGGAAATGTGGGTAGGAAATGGGTTTTAACAATTCTGGTTGATGTTCCAAAAAAGTGCCTTACTTAGCAGCAGTGCTTATCACAGAGTTTTGACTATTCCAAGCCTTTATGTTTTTCTTTATTGTAGGAAAACAAAATCTCATAACAGTAAATTATTACTTTAAAAGCATTGGAAATAGGTCCTCTGAAATGCCGGCTCCTTCAGATAGTTTTTGTGTTGAAATTTCCTTGCAGATGAATTACTTCAGAAAGAGCAAAACTATTCTGACGATGTTTTGGCCAATATGATCAGCGAACCCAGAATCAGCTATGGAAATGATGCTCTCATGCCTTCGTTGACGGAAACTAAGACCACAGTTGAACTTCTTCCAGTGGATGGAGAGTTCAGCCTAGATGATCTTCAGCCATGGCATCCCTTTGGTGTTGATTCTGTTCCAGCCAATACTGAAAATGAAGGTATGTACAAAAGGGGGACAAACCACAGAATATTTAGAGTTAAGCTTTGTGATTTCTCTTTATGTTGTTCCCTGAAAACTGACATCTTTCTGATGTAAGCAGGTTCTCAAATGTGAGTTTAGAACTGGTCTGCCATGTCAGCTGTGTCTCTTTGATGTAACAGAAAATCCTAACTAAAATTTGGAATTTAGACACACATAAATTTCAGTGTTGAGCTTACTTTCCTTTTAAAACAAGTCAAAATAAATTCCAGCAAATTATGAGTGACAGTTTTGTAAAATACATGACAGTGAGCTAAGGGAGATAGATAAGTTGTTAGATTTGTGCCATAATGAAATGGGTGTTTCAGTTAAGAATTTTTTATTTGCTGGCATGAAAATTATTACAGATCCAGCACAATCCTAGCATGAGAGTTGATTTTATCACACACGCACACTGGTAGTCTGGAACGTACTGCAGAAATGTTCTTGCATACTCAGCAATGCAACTGGCTAGTGAAAACTTCTTTCCTGAGGAATATTTTATGTTGCTCATGGACTAATTTATTGAAGTGACTCCATAATACTTCAATAATTTATGTAAAATCTGGAATAGTTGGTTTACTTAGGTGCCAGAGCCAGTTAATCAGAAGCCTGAGGGACTTCGATCATGTCATTCGAATCTCTCCTATTGTGTTTATTTTCCCTTATCAGTTCAACTCCACCATCATTAATGGTAAGTTAATGCAAGTTTGTTTCTGCAAAGCAACAGTAGATTCACAGAGGCTGGAGCTACAGCAGTTTTTTCGGGCAAATTTGTGATTTGTAGCTGAACTGCACAGACATTAACATCCTCCAGAGGTCTTTTGAAACCACTAGCTTATGCTATACCTGCTCTCAGAATGAGTTTTGAGACTAACCTTACGCAGTTAGTCTCACCCCAGCAAGATGTGTGAGTGACTGTGGGCAGCTGGGTGCTTGGGAGACGAAACATGGGACGTGGACATGGATTTGCCAGATCTGGTGTTGGTGCCAGGTGAAGTCAGTGGAGTCAGAACCAGTTTTGTGATCAAAGTGGGTCATCCCCAGGAGTCAGAGAAGCCCAAGATCAGGTAAAAGAAAAGCCATGGCTAGGATCTGAGCCAAGGTCAACAAACACGTGAGGCAGAAGATTTGAGGGGAAGAGGAGAGGCTGGTCAGGAGTGGGGCTAAAATCAGACTGCCAGGGAGTCAGCACTACAGCTAGGGGCCAAGAAAACGAATGGAGAGAGCTGGAGCAGACTGGGCGGACTGGCCAGCAGCAAGAACCGGCCAACAGGAGATGGCGACAAGGACTCCAGGCGTGTCTGGAGGGCAGTTGCAGCCAAGTGACGTGCTGAGCAGCTGGCTGGATTGGGTCAGGTGCTGGCGGGTAGTACAAGCGGCTGACCAGGCTGGCAGGCTGAACTTCAGTTTCCTGGGGAATCAGCTGCAGCTCACTATAGCGCCCGTGTCGAGGCTGGCTGTCTGCCCGGAGCAGGCCACAGTCCGGCTGGTGGTGTCTGTCCTGCTGGAATTTTCCAATACAACTCTTGCTGTGGTTTTTCCCATAGCTGAGGCATCCAGGGCATCAATTTCTATACCCACTGCCTGCTTTCATGAAACTCGAGGGGGATTAGTTATTTTTTAAGTCTGTCGTCCCAGCTTTCAAAATGTACTGATTTCAGTCACCAAGTTCAGAAGTTTTTAGGTAGACCCAGACATAACCGTAGTTTAATCACACAAGTCTTTTTTTCCTTCAGAAACCTGGCTAAGCCCAGAATTTAATAATGAAAGGTACATACTTCAGTGTGATGCTGAATTCCCATGGGCAAGTACATTGAGCATGGTTCTCCTTTTAAAATGTATGACAGCAAATATGAAACAAAAGCTCTCCTGGCTTGAATAACGTGCTGTTTAATTATAAATCCTGTATATTCTAATGCACTACATGGTGTGTTGCAGCACTTGTTAATGTTTACTGGGGGAACATCTTTTAACTTTCATGCCTTTAAGTTGTTGAGCTTTAGAATTTTTTAATAACAAGATTGTATTTGTCATGAAGTTACTGCAGCAAGCAATTCTGTTAGGCCAACCATTATTAGCATTTAAGTTTGGACAATTAGAAATAGAAATTATTTGATGACTTAAACCTCTTCAAGTCCTTCTTGTTTCCCATTATACTTCCCTGTCATCTACCCAAACCACAATGTTGTTAATGTGATCATGCCTACAATACCTTCTTTGTCTCTTAATATACCCTCTCTGTACCTTTGCCTGTAGCATTAAAAGGGGAATTTCACAGCCTTATCTTTTTTCTTTGTGTTTGTTTCCCACCTCTTTGTTCCAGAAACCCAGGACTAACTGTGCCATTTGTCCTCACTTCCCGTGCCTGTTTTCTTCTGTGGCCATGGGCTAATCCCAGGCTTTGTCTAAATTGCTTTCAAAATGCTTGTCTGTTTTGTTACAATTTGCTTTGGAAGTAGCGAGAAGTACATAACAATTGACACCATTTTCTCCTCCTTTTTCCTCTCCCTCTCCACTGAAAGTCTTTTTGCATAGTCTGGTTTTCCACACAGTAAGTTCCCCTTATGCAGGGAGGTTTTTGTATTTTATGCAGTACTGAGCAAGTCATTGCTGTTTCTTAACAAATAACCATTGATCAGAAAAGGTGTAAGTTCAAAAATCATATGCTAGAGAAATCTCAAATATTGTAGAGTGACTAACTATTGCAGTATTAGGGACAGTCAGCATCTCTTGCTGCTGGGAGGTGCTGAGCATGACAGTCAACGTCAGAGAACTGAGCATCTCAGCCCTCATTTGCTTGAGCGAGAGCTGAGGGTAGTCAGCACTGTCAAGAAAATCACAGCATGTTCCACGTGAACGGTGCGGTATCTGGGAAATCTGCTGAGCAATTGGTCCAGCAGATTTAACAGAGGCTACCAGAGGAGTTTCAGATGGCAAGCAAGTTACAAGTTCAGTTGTTGATACTATTTTGGTCTGGTTTGAAAGCTGAAGTCAGCTTTTTTTAAAACTCTGCTGAACACAAATCCAGACTGCTAACAGCTCAGCATATGCAGGTGAGTTTCTAGGTAGAATGAGAGTCTCAACATCCTCACTGCAAAAAGCTGTTGCTCTGTATAAACAATGGTTTTCTTCAGTCCTGAGCAGGCACACCAGGTAAATCATTTACCTCATTGCAAATTTGCATTACTGTCATAACAAATTTCTAATGGGACCATTGGTGTCTGAGAGGCAACTGAACAGATCCCAGAGCTGGCTGGGTTAGGACCTGGGATCCCAACCCCCCTGGCACAGTCACAGCAGCAGCACTTGTCTTCAGCAAAGCATTTGGGAAATGCTTAAACCAAAATGTGATTGTGGAAAAAGTGGAAGGTTTTGCAACCATTAAGTCTTCGTTTCAAAGTAGCCAGTATTCTGCATACAAGTGATGAAATTAAAATACTACAAATAATACCTTAAATTTGTCATTAGTTCCCATGCCTGTTTTCTTCCCTGGCCATGATCTAATCCCAGGTTTCACCCAGAGATATTAATAGTGTATTGGATTGGTACATTGCCATGCAATCTCAAGGTTTCATAACTCCATTTGAAATTTTCTCAATCTAAACTGCATGTTTAGATAAAAGGAGTAAGTTTTATGCAAATAGTTTATTTTAATAAAATGACTTTTTCTGATGAATGAGTGAAAAATAGCCTAAAAATAAAAAGACCTTGAAAGTCTAGCATAGCTCAGTAGTTTCTGAAAGTATTTTCTTCCTTGTTTCCCTGAGGTAGTTTCCCAGCAAATGTCCAGTCAGGTAATACATTACACAACCTGCACGGCTGAACGTATGTCTAGCGTATTGAGATACAAATCAGGTTAGCAAAAAATACCCTCTGAGGATACTGCAGAAGGCACCATCGAACTGTCAGGAAATTGTATTTTAAGAATGAAAAACTCACCTACAGAGGTGGGGACAAAACCCCAACAGCTGTGAAGCTCTGGCACTGCCATGGTCCCTGGGCATTTTGCCAATGACTAACGGAGTTTAGTGTTTTACCCTTTGTGTTTTACCATGCAGCTACTGTTAGCCTCAGTGACAAAGTATTTAAAGTGAGATTTTTGTGAATGTACTGTGTAATCCTTATGACTTGGCCAGTTACTCCCTTCAACACTATTCTTGGTAGGTGAGCAGCACATAGCTCTCCTCGCCTGCTGGTCTGTACCAGCTTTTGAGCTTTTTGATTCACCTTTCTTTTATTTTTGAAAAAAAAAAGAAGCACCCACGTTCTTGCTCTTCTGAGAAGTATTAGCATTAGACATGAGGTGGGATGTGTAGCCTTGTATGAAGCCTGCATAGTCAGCATGAGCAGGTATATACCAATTTAGTCTCGTGAGCCTATTTGGAAAATAACTTTTCAGTCTTAATTCTGCATACTTCTGTGCACGTGGAAGTGTGTTCAAGAGAAATATAATTTTGGAGCATCAAAATGAAGGCATTTTTTATAATAATACACAGTACATCTTAGAGTTTTGATTATTGACAAGTGCTGTAATAGGTTTAAACTTCTCCCCTCTGTATCAACAGTTGTGAGGTGGTGGGGTCCAGTGGGGCAGGCAGTGAGGAAGCCTGCGGACAAGAGTTTTCAGAGTTAACTGCTATTTGTGCATACATCGATACCGGGGCAAGAGCAAACAAGTTTTAAAATGCAACTGAAATTCAAAAGGTGGCAGCTCAGGACTCTCCAGAAACCAGCCTTTCTTTGTATCGTGCTGCCCATGGCACGCCGCACTTAGGTGCCTGGAATCACGAACTGCTTCGGAAGACCCTTGGCTCTGAGCTTTTGCCTCCAGTTTTTGCCCTGCAGCTGGTTTGTGACCTTGAGAGGGTTGTTTCACTTTTGTATCAGTTATGAAATATGCCAGTGATGTTTGCCTTTTCCCCTGTAAAGTGCTTCCAAAACTATAGATGATGGGAAAAATTATTTGTTATGAATACTTTCACCTGACTCCACAAATACTGCATTACTCTGAGGTCAAGTCCACGCTACTGTATAACAGAAACTTCCTCCATCCTTTTCTCCCTTCACCTACTCCCATTTTTATTGCTACCCACAACCTGCTTTCTCAGTTCTCCGTAGCTATGGGCATGGAGGGTTACAGAGTGCTGAGCGAGAGGGAAATAAAACCCTTCAGCCTTCTAGGGGGCAGGTGGGGGGCAGGGCATCAGAGAAGGGTACTGCAGGGGCAGTTCGGGTGATTTCGGTGTCACTAAGCAGGTGACACAGACTTCCTACGAAGACAGGCAATCCCCTTGCTTAAGTCAGCAGTATCATCAGTCAAGTGTAGCTTTCTGATGCTGAATACAGTGAGCAGTTAATGATCAAAAACTGTGCTTTTGTCAGGTTTCCTATGTTATTGTGGCTCTCACTGCTAATTAGAAGGTTCCTACTTGAATCCTGAAATTCAAATGAATGAGAATACCTTATTTAGAAAATTCTGAATTCCAAGCTACAATGTAAAATTTTATTTCTGAATTTAATTTCTTTCTGACAGTGGCGCTTGGGTAGATAAGGAAGGCAACAGTATCAGAGCAAAAAAGAGAAACGACAAAAAAAAAGAAGGGAAAAAAATCTGAATATTTTAATGAACTTCTCCAGTATGTTCAGTTTGGACTTAGGTGATGGCAGTAGGTGATGACTCAAACAGCTCAAAGTTTTGCACATCATATTTTCTATTAATGCCGGTGAGCTCCATCAACCTTAAGTTTCAGCTGGTAAAGCCTTAGTGTACAGTAATACAAGAGTTTTAAAACTGTGCGTGATGCACAATTCGGTAGAAAGTAGTGTTTCTCCTTTGCTTCCCTTTCAAAAATTGAAAGACAAATTTACTGTCTACAGATCAGAGCATATCAGAATGAAGTATTGATTGTATTTTCAAAATGTGCTTTACTTTTTTTCAGAGCTTATAGCTAGTGCTGTAAAGAACCCCTATTGAAAGGAAAAAGGAGTCAGGATTCAGTGGGTTTATGAGTCAGCATTGATCAAGACTGGCTGCAAGAACTCACTCGTCATGTCTGTTCTTGCTGCCAATTCCGATCAGACAACTGGTTGCACATAATGAATGTAGTTTCACTCTATAGACAGAAATTCTTTGATCTTGATGGTTTCTCACTTTAAGCAGTAACCAGAATATGATGTAAAATTGACACAGCAGCTGTGAAGCTTTCCTTCTGAAGTCGTGCCCATCCCTTCCTTTTATTTCCAGGATTAACTGAAGGCAGATCTTTTCTAGCTGTTGCTTTGGTAACTTTGTTTATGCAATATGTCTCTCCTGCACTGTCCCAACAGAACAGCAGATGACTTTATTGTTTTGGGGGATCTTGTTTATTTTTTGTTTGCTTTTTTGTTTCTTTTCTGCACATGCCCAGTTGAGCCAGTTGATGCCCGCCCAGCTGCAGACAGAGGACTCACCACACGACCAGGTATATAACTTGCATGGCTTTTACCTCACCTGTGTTTTCCCCGCATGCATGTGGTCTACTTCAGCTGAAACGATCACCTTTTTTTGGTATAATCTTTAAAATGTAACACTATGCCACAAACCAGGGAAGAGTTCCCACGCAAACACCCATCAGCCTGTGTGAGTGCCATCAGCGTCGAGGGTGTCGGGAGTGGGTAGTCGCAGAGGGAGTGGGACCCACAGCCCCAGAACTGATTCTCATATCAAGTTGTCATCCCTTCTACCAATAAGGCTTTGGCAGGTGCAGGAGGCGGTAGACACGGTACCCCATAGTGCAGAGAGTACTTTTAATTTGGAAACATGTGATAGAAATGTCGAATCCTCTATGTAGAGTATACAGTTTCTTGTACATTGGGGCTAACAAAGAATTCAAGTGTACAATTTTAGAATTGCAGGGGACATCAGGATTTTTTGCTGTGGTATTTATCTTAGCTTACTCCAGATATCTAAAAATTGATACCTACATTCTCCCTCTGGATTCACTGAGGACACCTCTATATGGCTATTCATTCCATTGTAGGATAGAGCAGAGTGATTATTTGCCCTCTGTAGGTACCTGTGTCTTCCTATCGATTTCAAAGTAATAGCAGATGACTAGCTTGAGTCAGGCTGAAAATGTTTTAAAAAGTGAAATGGGACAAATCCAATTTTCAAAAGTAAAAGATTGCTTTTCACACTAACTTTTTTTTATTTTTAGGTTGGTTTTCCCCTTGTTTTTGTTTAGGATTATCTAGTAATGGCTGGGTCCACTGAGAGCAAAGAGCCTTTTATTTCAGAAGAGGTTACTCTCCAACACATAGTGAAATTAGCTAGGTATATTTTAGGGTCAGAATTATTTCAGTGTCATATCATCATTGTGGTTTTTTCTTTAGATGAGATAAAACTGAGCAGTCTGTCTTCTTTTTTCCTTCATCTTTTTCTCCAAATGTCCATTACATAGCATTATGGGAAACACCCTCCTCCTGTGTTTAAAACTTTCCAATAACTCACCGGTGTTTTCTGACTACAGAAATTGCTACAGTGGGAAGTAAAAAAAGCTCCTATGTTACAGCAATTGGGACACATGTCAAGGCTGGCCAGGTGATGTGCTCCTAGCACTATTTTAGACGTCTAACATCTTTACTTGTATTTAGAGTCTTAATTTATTCCATGAAGAGAGCCTGGAAATAGGTACGGAGCTAGCTGTACAACAGTGCGAAAAATCATGGGATCGGGGAACATCCCCTCAACACTGGGTTACCTCTGCCTTTTGGATTAGATTTCTTCCCCAAGAGCAGTAGAAATATCATCACAAATGAAACATGAACGTGTTTAATTGGAATTTTGTAATCTTAGTTCAATCTAGCAATTTTCTGGTAATACTAAAGTTTGTGATTGTTAACTATTTTAATTTCAGTTGTCTTGAAAAATCTCCCGTTATGAGGCCCATGTTTATTACTAAAGATTTATCCTTCCTCCTTTCTGTTCCCCCGCACGTACACACACATGACAGAAATCTTTGGTGTCCCTTCTCTAGAGAAAGGATTTTCTCACACTGCTGCACTCTAGTTTCAGAGTGAAATTACGTGTTTCAGTTCACTCTATCAGAGTGCTTTGTTGGTTGAGGTGATACAAATAGTACTATATATGTCTGGCTAGCATAGGTCAGGACTCACCTTTGTGAATGTGTACGATAGACTACTAAGGAGAGGTAAAATATATTTCACCGTGTGACCACAGATACAGTAATTTTTGCAGTAGGAAAATCACTTGGGATAGTTCCTCAATTTTCTGCTCAAGTGCAAAAGTGCTGTCCAGGGACCTGCACCGCCTTGGCCACTTTTAGCGCAGGGTTCAAGTGCTGCAAAGGCCCATGCTGTTTGGCACAGAGAGTGGACTCCTCCAAACTGGCAAGGACGCACGCCACATTCCTCTGTGCAGAGGGATGGTTGCTTACCTGGAGAGATTGAAATCTCTCACTGCTGTGCCTGCATTCCGAATTTCACAGCATAAAGTGTCTTGCATGTGAAATGGAGATTTTGCCCCTTTACAGTAGTGCTAAATGTATCGTAACAGTAAGCAAAATGCATTTTCTTCACCATTCTTAGTAGACCTTAAGTTCCTTGGGTCTTTCATCATGAGGTCCAGACTTCTGCAATTTTGTGCTTACTGATACAGATTCTAGCAATAAATGTCCACCTGACATTTTCATCATCCTTTAAAAACAATTTATCTGTGATAAAATTTCAACTTAACAAAAAAACAATACCAGTCTGAAGTAGCTTCATAAACTAGGAATAAAGGAAAGCTTAATTAAACTATGAAACACAAAAGGGATTCTGATGGTTTAAAAATGTGTGCTTTAAAATTGTTTTACTTGCTAATTATAAATTAAATCTCTATGTTAGAGGTTAAAAAAGGAACAGAGATACTTTTTTTTCCAGTCACCGTCCTTTTAGGTTAATCAGTTTTTATGGTTTGTGGCTATTCTTTATGGGAAAAAAAAAATCTGAAAAATGAGGATATTATTCTAGAATGAAAAAGTATTAACAAGGGACCTGGAGGCAGATTAATACCTGCAGCTGCTTGTAACATTGTTTTGTTTTAATTGCCCAGATTCTTGTTGATTTCCTGAAAGGTTTTGCCCCTTTCATAGTCCTGACTTTCCAGTTTGTGCTTCTACTTGTTTTGCTCAAGTGAACAAGGTGGTGACCTGCTCTTCTGGGTGAAAACACTGGTGTCAAGTCAGCCTACTACAGTCCAAGCCTGGGAATAAGAACAAGTAAATGTTTTGTAGGTGTTCAAAATCCTTGAATAAAATCAGCTCTAAAAGGACTAAGACAAACATACAAACACGTGTCCTTTTTTCTCCTTTCCATTTTCTTTTTACCGGTTTTCGACCACACAACATTCTTAAAATGATCGCTACGTTTTTCTTAAAAGTAGATCATAATGCAGATGATCTTTGTCCTTTCCCACAAGAGAGGTAATTTGGTCACACTACAGAAAAGAAGAGCACGTACTTAGTTGTTAGTAGTATTTGTGATAACTAGAGTCTTGTTACTTAACCACATCATTTTCTCTCTTTCAAAAAATAAACAAAAGTCTATGAGTAAAGTCAGGAAATATGAAGGGTTGTCCAATCCATAGAGCTGAAAAGCTTTTGAGTAAGGACTAAGTTTAAAGCGTTTACTAAAATATAAGCCAGTTGTCCAAATCCCTACTTCTGTTGCAGTCCATCTTGGCTGTCAGCAGTTGAAGCTTGAATTTGAATCTGATTTACGTCAATCCCAGGAGGAGAGTAATGTCAGGCAGACTCCCATTTCCTAGTATAGATACAGCATCTGTGTGATTCACACTGGTATTTGAAAAGGAGTTCTACTACTTCCACGCGCTGTACTTCCCCTTTACAATTCACAAATGGAGGAACAAAAATAAGAATTATGCCTAAATCCCTTTCTTGTCATCTCTTTCCTGAAAAGGAAGTAAACAGAGATAATAAAAGGTCAAAGGGAAGGAAAATATCTAGACGTACTAAGCAGACATCAGCGAGCTATTTTTTAACACAGCACAAAATGATAGGAGATTATGACGTGTTTCTTGCTATTTATAAATTGCTTCATACAGGGAGACATTAGAAAGCTTCAGTCCAGCCTGAGAACTTTCATAGGAAGAGCTTCGAATAGAAAGAGTACCTCTTTACTTGATAGCCTCACTCTTAACAGCTTTCTCAATAGTGTTTCCTCTTCATCTGTGCCCCAGAGGTCACGTTTTCATGAGGAACATTTGATTTCTTGTAGCTGAATTTTGGGTATGTATTTATTAGTAACTGTTTTCTCTTTGTATGTGTGTGTTTATATAGAGAGACAGACTTATACGCGCATAAAGATACATATAAAACCATCTTCAGAAACTCATAAGCAAGCTCCTTTTTACTCATGTTAATTCAGCAGGTCTAATCTGTGGAAATTGAGCGAAGATTAGAAAATCTGCCATAGGATCATAGAATCATAGAATGGTTTGGGCTGGAAGGGACCTTAAAGATCATCTAGTTCCAACCCCCCTGCCATGGGCAGGGACACCCTCCACTAGGCCACGTTGCCCAAAGCCCCATCCAACCTGGCCTTGAGCACTTCCAGGGATGGGGCCTCCACAGCTTCTCTGGGCAACCTGTTCCAGTGCCTCTTCCACCCTCACAGTGAAGAATTTCTTCCTAATACCTAATTTAAATCTCTGCTTCTTCAGTTTAAAGCCATTACCCCTTGTCCTATCCCTACATGCCCTTGTAACCAGTCCCTCTCCAGCTTTCCTCTAGGCCCCTTCAGGTACTGGAAGGCTGCTATAAGATGTCCCCGGAGCCTTCTCTTCCCCAGGCTGAACAACCCCAACTCTCTCAGCCTGTCTTCATAGGAGAGGTGCTCCAACCTTCTGGTCATCTTCGTGGCCCTCCTCTGGACTCACTCCAACAGCTCCATGTCTCTCTTGTACTGGGGACCCCAGAACTGGGCATAGTACTCCAGGTGGGGTCTCATGAGAGCAGAGCAGAGGGGCAGAATCACCTCCCTCGACCTGCTGGTCACGCTTCTTTTGATGCAGCCCAGGATACGGTTGGCTTTCTGGGCTGCAGGTGCATGTTGCTGGGTCATGTTGAGCTTCTCATCCACCAACATCACCAAGTCCTCCTCAGGGCTGCTCTCAATCCATTCCTTGCCCAGCCTGTAGTTGTGCTTGGGATTGCTTAGTGAAGCTATATTAGCTGTTCACCAGCCACCTCCTTGTCTTCCATGTGCCTGAGCATAGTTTCCAGGAGGATCTGCTTCATAATCTTGCTGGGCACAGAGATGAGGCTGTCCGGTCTATAGTTCCCCTGGTCTTTTTCCCTTTTTAAAACTCGGTGTTATGTTTCCCCTTTTCCAGTCAGTGGGAACTTCACCAGACTGCCAGGACTTCTCAAACATGATGGAGAGTGCCTTAGCAACTTCATCCACTAG